AATGTTATTGTTATTTTGTATACAGCGAGTGTATGAAAAAAGAGATTTCGTTTTGTACAGCTTTCATGACATTTCCATTTCTTAAAATGCAGCAGAGATCAAATGTAAATAGTGTTGGGGGTGGGGGTTGAAGTGTTTTAGTTTGGTGTTGTCAGTGTGATGCAGAGTCTGTAACATGATTTAGAGTTTTCTCAACCGTTCAGCTGTCTAATGGTGGTGGGGAAAAGCTGTTTCAGAATCTGCTGGACCTGCATTGAATGCTGTGAAGCCTGTGAACCCCAGAGGGCAGCAGGGAGAACAGCCCATGGTGGGGGTGTGAGGGATCATTGGTGATGTTACAGGCTCAGGACACCAGTGTTGTATAGTAACAAAGTAAAAATACTTCACTACTGTACTTAAGTATATTTTGGAGTACTTTATACTTTCCAAGAGTATAAATTTCTTTGAGAACTTTCACTTTTACTTCAATACATTGACGAACTTAATTGCATACTTTTACTCTGATACATTTTCAATGTTTGGTTTAGTTACTAAGTAAAAAAAAAGTCGGGTCTTGCCTGGGCTTGTTCATCAACACCCTTAGGATATAGATTGGTCACTAGGCACTATTGTGGAATCTCATAATGTTATCTATATAAATGAACTTTGTTTGGCATTGTTTTCAGTTCCACACGTGGTGTATGTAACTTAAGCTAAATGTTGACTGTAGCAGGCTTTTGAAGATGAAAAGAAGTTTTTACAGTTTCAAGTGATAATGGGGTTATGTGCGAGGATGACGACAAGGGGTGGTTAAGATTAGGACGGGGAAGAAAAAGTCAAGGGCAAAAGTGTGGAGGGGATGAGGGGCTTGTGTTTACAAAGTGTTTAAGATTTAGTTAATTGGCCTGAAGTGCATCTTTTTTTCTTAATTTCAGCACCGCCTTTTTTACGTTTTAAGGTAGTTTTACAAAAAATGTCTTCCTCTTCACATGCCAAATAAGCTGCAGTTCCCTCCCAATTATTTTTCTTT